CGTTCGAGGGCCGTCTCCCTCAAGGGTGATTAGGGGCTGACCCGCGAGAAGAAAGTGGGAGGGAGCGAGCAAGATGATTTCGAATTTCAAATACGAAAACGTTGCGTTCGACCACTGCAGAACAAAGACAAGTTAGCTCTGTCCGTGCAAGAGAGATGACGTAGGCAGTACGCACCTCGATATCTCGACGGGGCGGGAATTCGGAGTACCTCTCAGTGTTACCCTTCCACTTCTGATTAACGGCCTCCAATATTTCGATTATAGCTTCCAGTGAGTGCTCGCTCGGTGTGATAGCAAAGGTGCCGTAAAGGTCGAGGTGCTGATGATAAGGTGGATACACTAACTCGTTGGTCAGATACACAGTGAATGATAACCAGTGCCGCAGAAAGGGCTTACATAGAACAAGGTTCTCCTCTGAATCGAGGCTGAAGCCTTCTCGTGTACGAGTAATGCCCAGCACAGAGGACAAAAAATTGATCTGAAGAGTCGACGGTAATGATTAGCGGCTGGCGGCGGTGAAACAGTGAGATACTTGCTATTTGGAGTCGGCGAACCTCGTCTTTCCTGACAGCGTTTACAAGGTGTGCAACCTGAAGCGTCAGATCGGAGAAGCCTGTCAGGAAGCAGCCAAGGTCTCCTGCGAGCTCCTCTCTGATCTTGACGAGGGTGCTGATCGCGGTACTGCGAGATTGTTTGGACTGGTCGGTTGGTGTCGGTGACGTGATGCGTTCAGGATGAGGTGGAAAGTCATGTGCAGAGGGGTAGCCTGCGGCAGGGCGTCCGATGAGGTGCTTGCCGCGAAACTCAAGCATGGCGAGCAGAGAGAAAGAGGTATGTAAAGAAGGAAGACCGGCCTTTGCTTCCCTTAATTGTGGCACAGAAGCCTGCCCTAAAGTAGACGAGAAGTGTTGCCAACACCCGCTACCTTCTTCAACGGAATGAACGGCGCGTGCGGCGGCGCATTAGTCGCTGCCACTTCGTGACAGCTCCTAGGACCCCCCCATACACTGCGAGGAAAAGGGAATGATGGATATCGAAATCCTGGGTATTTGCGTTGACTGCTTAAGTTGCAATGAGTACCCCAGCATCTCTGCGTGACCTATACGCACCTCCATCCAACGCCTGGTCGTTTTCCCTAGCGCAATCATCCAACTCGACACCGCCTGCCCCACCCTCTTCCTCCTACCAGTGGTCAACCCGGACACACGCCAACCCGTTACTCGACCTGTCAGCGTCCATAGCGCAAGATGACGAGGGTCTGGGCGCGAAACTTATCTTGCAGGGCCTTCTATACTCTGCTTTGCTCCGATTTTCGACGAGCGTGGTGACCGTGCCTTGGGATGTTGGGAAGACCCTTCTACAAGTGCAGTGGGTTCCACGAGATGCTGGCGAGATGCTTCCGGGAGCGTCTCTGACTATAGACGAATCCGACGAGGAGGATGTACGTTCTACTTCAATCGTCTGTGTCTAAAACGCTCCTTTGACTCTACGTTTAACTCAGCGATACTTCTATGGATAACGACGTCTCATATTTTGCTGACCCCAGTAATCCCGACTCCGGACGTAATGCCCCTCATTTGCTTTCGGACGATAGAGGATATGTTGTGCGACAGTCTGTGTTGGAGGAGGGAACTCTGCCGGAATATGTGATACCTGTTGGAAGTGCGGATGGGGTATGGGGAATGATGAAGCGACTTGGCCGATTCAGACCCGAAGGCTGGCTCGCGCTCTGGAAAGGTGCGTAATACGCTGTTACTTGATAGGTCTGTTTGTTCACGAAACTCGCCAGGTCTACTGACATCCACCATTATGGACGGATTGGCAGTCACTCTGCAGCCAACTATTCTCTCGTTACTGGAAGCCATCTTCTCGTCGGATAGCCCTGCGCCAGACTCGCTGCATGGGCTGACCGCGTATGCCCTCCCTGTGATCTCGCAGGTACTCACAGGGTTCCTCATTTCTCCCTTGGACCTCGTCCGAACACGCCTGATGGTCCAGACATCCATGGCGCGACATCGCTCGTATACGGGCCCATTTGACGCCATAACTCAAATCCTCACAGACGAAGGCGGTCTCAAAGGCATCTACTTCCACCCGCACTTGTTCCTTCCTACCATTCTCGACTGCACCCTCCGCTCTCTTATCCCCATCGTCATGCCTCGAGTGGTCGCTTCTTACCTCTCCTTTGGTGGTGTCTCCGTCACGCCAGAAACCCATCCCTTCATGTGGGCAATGTCCGAATGGCTGGGCAGCTGTGCCGGGTACCTTATTACCATTCCCTTCGAGACCGTTCGTCGGAGACTGCAGGTTCAAGTACGCGGAACTGCGAAGCCGCTGAAGCCGTGCGTCGAGCTTCGACCGGCGCCGTACAACGGTATCGTTGATGCGATGTGGCATATTGTCACGGAGGAACGGTCAGACCTGCCATTGAAGCCGCGGAAGCGAAGACGAAAGAGCATGAGTGCGAAGGGAAAGGCGACGGCTGGGAGGCCTGTGCCAGAGGAGGAGGGGCGGGAACGGGTGGAGATTGCAGAAGACGAAGGCGGTTGGCTGAGGAATACGGGGTTGGGTCAGTTGTATCGCGGGTTAGGGATGCGGCTCAGTGCAAGTGTTGTGGTTTTTATTTTGATATCTCTGTACGGAGGAGACGAGCCTGATGTGGGCTGGACGGAGCTGTGATATGCTAGGTATTCTGCGTTATCAGAATAAATGACACTCCCTTCTCTGGCCTCTCCGTCGTCGTCCTTTGACTCGGACTCCTTTCGTGCTCGGTCCGCCTAGCGACCAAGCGGGGAATGCCGAACGGACTAGTATCCCCTGATTCCCACACTGTCAATTGGCCAACAGCGACACCTCTGTAACGACTTGACTTGACTCTCTACCACGACTCAGCTTGACCTCGAACCGAAAACCGGCGAGAAATCGCCATGAAAGCCCGCCGTACACGCCGATTCCCGTCGCACTTTCCCCCCGACATCCTCGACAACATACTAGGTCACCTGTGGAACGACTACAGAACACTGGCCAATGCGTCGCGCGTTTCTCGTCAGTGGGCTTCCGTGGCGCGACCCCACATCTTCCGCAGCGTCACCATAGACGAGGAAGATCGCGTGACGGAGCTGATGAGGATAGTGGCGGAGACACCGGTCGTCGCATTCTGGATCCACGAGCTACGAATCCGCCCGTCTTCGGAGCACGAGGCATCTACATTTTGGCATCTGTGGACAGTATCCGAGAACCTGCAACTGCTGCTAAGCCTCAAGAACTTGAGAACTTTGGTTTTCGAGGATTTAGATGGCAGCATGATGGCGGTCATGTCTTCAGAAGATGAAGCAGCTCTTGTAAGGTCGCTACTTCAGCCGCCTTTCCCATTCGTCACGGAGGTCGTTCTAGAGAAATGCCGGTATTGGCGCCCCGCATACATCATGCCCTTCCTGAGGTGCATCCCGAGTTTGACAAGTCTGTCATTTATCCAAAGCTATACAAGCACTCCCCCGAACCGCTCGGCATGGTCGTATGGAAATGACCCTCGTCTGTGTCGTCTCAACATTGTACACCCCTGGACACAATTCCGCTGGTTCGTGGCAGAAGTAGTCCCCACACACTCGCTACAGACAGTGCAGTCGTTGCACCTTACTGTTCTGCTCCACTCGAACCCAAGCTGCTTGACTCTGGGGTCGCTCCTCGAGCTCACTTGGGGCTCACTTCGTACCTTACGGTTAGAAATGGACTGCAATAGACCAGTCATCACTTGGAACTATCGCAAGTCCAATCCGGCAGCTTCTTTGCAGGAACAACCTCCATTGACTCGCATACTTTTGCTTCTCACAGATTCAGCGCTGAGGGAGTGGGATCCGACGAGAATGGCGAATCTACGACACATTCAATTTGAAAGCCTTTCGGCCCCGGCGAAACTACAAGACTGGGGTCCCATCGCGCAGATTCTGTTATGCGGAATGAAGACCTTACCTATAGAAGATATCACCTTATGCGGGTCATTCGAACGTATTGGCGACTTCCAGCCTGGACACTACGACGATCTCAACTGCGCGATAGGCAGCCCCGACAATTTCCAGTCTCTCCGACTGCTGCGATTTGCTTATCATGGCAATCTTACACCGAAGAAGGTTCGAGACAGAGTTCAACAGGTATTCCCGTCGCTCCAGGCGAAAGGAATCACGTTGGATTTCAGGAAGGTGGCACCCATAGATCGTTTGTCGGCGATCAATTAAGCTCTCCGAATTTTACCAGGCTGTCTCGCTCCACCACCGCAATCGAGACTGTATTCTAGGATGCTATACGTGCTCTGAAAGGACGATCTCCACCGTCTCAGCGGCAGCGACGACCACCGTGGCGACGGAATGGTCTGTGTGAGATTGCGTCGCACACCCATTTTGCAGGGGGGCATACCCCTTTCTCTGCAGCGACTACAGAGAGAAAGCGGTGCCCAGGAGGAGGAGCTGCAACTGTATTTCTATAGTTCGATCGCGTTCTTACACTTTACTCGACTTTCGCGGGGTGCCTTTCCCTTGGACCAGTACTGCATTCTGCACCGCGCTCAGGATGATCCTATGGTCGACGCGGTGTGGGTGTATGACGACGTGGTCCATCTCTTCGAGATGACGCGGCACGGTGTGCGGTCTCTTTGGTGCCTCGTGGTCAGGTGGGTCAGTTTCAGGAGCAGCAGAAGATGGTACAAGAGGCGGACATTGCACAAGGAGCAGTTCCATGCTACTAGTAACTTGATCTCCATGTACGTAGTCGCGTTGGATAGCCTACGGTCTCTCGTCTAGACGCAAGAGCAAGCGACCATAAGAATAGAGAAACAATCTTTTGATCCGTACATACGAAGTCTTGAAGCATGTGTACCGACAAGGATCAACGCTATCAGAACCTGAGAACAGAGCCTCAGCCTGTCGTGGAGAAGGAATGTGGTCCGCCAAGTTCTTCAGTGCTGAGAGGTGTGACAATATGTCTGAGCTAAAGCCAACAACGTCCAAGGCGCTATAGTGTAGTGGTTATCACTTGAGATTCTGACTTTCGCTCCTCGCGATCGTTTGAACTTTCTCATAACCCAGGTTCGAGCCCTGGTAGCGCCTATTAGTGTGCACTACGTGTATTTTTGTCTCTACCACATAGTCTACTGTGGTTTTTCTTTCCTCATTACTTCACTAGTGCTCGACATCTCCTACGACTCGAAAGGTCGTGTACCGCGACAGTCCTTGCTCGTGAGAGGACCTCAAGCAAATCAACGCATACGGATCCGGAATAAATTCAATAGCAGAAAACAAAGAAGGATTTACTGTCACTACCGCGAGCACTATTGCGAGCTGTAAGATGAGAACCCTTGCCACCGACTTCAGTATCGAAGCCACTACACACACACACAAGATCAACGAAAATCGGCAAGAGGCTAGTACTACGTAGCTGGATCACGACGTCAAGGGGGAGAAGGAAACTCCGCTGTCGAAACAAACCGTTCTCGAGGGCTATGGCGGATTCTCCTGAATCCTGACCCAGGATTGTACAAGGCAGCGGACCACCATCTGGCATCAACGCTGACAGGTCGTCGAAGATGCAGCCCGACGAGATTCAGCGCGGCGGTGCAGGACACATGATCATCGAAGGAGAGCCTCGAAAGCCCATGGAGGTCTTCTTCCTTGCGTCGCTGTTTGGGCGCCAAAAACACTTTTGCACTGTTTTGCACTGCAAAAGTGTTTTCTGGATGGCAAGCTTCGATGACCGCTCCTGCGACTTCAATATGCCAGCCCAAGGATGGCGGTCCCGCCGTCTCGGTGGTCGTTCTCAAAGGAATAACTGAAGAAGAAGCACGAGCTGATGGCGAAGACTCGTCATGGGCCACCGCGAGAAGCAAAGCGGCGGGTCGGCGACGACGCCACACCACACCACGCTCCTGCCGGTCGTGTTTCTGACTCTCGAGAAGCAATTTGAACGGGTCACGATCGCTCGAGCGCGGAAAAGGTCGACGGCTCAGGCCACTTTCCTGTCCCTCGAGAAGCATCGGCCAGTGCGCAAGTAGGCAAACTCGAGTGAATTTCCCTTCCACTGGCAGAAGAGGCCGCTTCAGTGTCACCCACTACCCCTCGAGATCACTTTGCCAATGTCGCTTCGGACAAGGCACAAAAACTGGTAGAAACTCCTCTCTATCCTGTTCCAGGACTACTGGAACACGTCTGTGCGCATGATTTTCCTACTGTTGGCCCTTAAACTCTTGTAACAGTTGGTACAAGGGTGCGTCATTCGATATACCAACTCCAAAAAAGTTTCCCTTCAGCCATTGCGCCAGCCGACGTGTTCCAAGACTCTTGGAACAGGCCAGCGCCTCTCTCGCCAGACGATCGAGGCAGACCGTGCGCGCACACGTTGTGTCCTCCAGAGCGCGACACCGTTATGCGATCTCCTTATTCAAGGAGGCATCGATTGTAATTTGGGTGGATGCGGACATCGCCCCGTGGTCTGAAAGACAGCATGTCCTCGTACCGGAGATGCAGCCGAAAGGCTCAGTAGCAGAGTGACGTTCTTCTACGGACCGTAGCGTCATTACTTCCCATTTACTTCGTTTCTCTTCGATTGGGCAGCTCGTCGCGACGCAGCGTTTACTCGTTCTCACAAAGACATGCATCATGGCTGCTGGAACGTTTACAAGATCAAAGCATGGGGAGCCCTCAACGTCTAAACATGCCAAACCCGTATAAAAGAATTTCCCAACCTTCCCAAAAATCCATATGCCACCCCACGGGCGAATGCTCATTACCGTCCCGCACCCCCTGCGCCAAATTGCGAAGCCCTGAAGGTAGTCGATGTCAGCACGAATTACGACTGTTTGGGAGGATAGTTCGCTCACAGTTCACGCAAGTTCGGGTCCGACATCAGCTCCGCCATGGAGGGCATGCCGCCACCAGATTGCACGCGACTCATCTAAGCAAAAGACAGAGTGCACACACACTATATCAGTGGCCGTGGTAGACATGCAGTCAAGTACAGCACGTACCATGTTAGCAACCGCAGGGTTACTCATCAAACGTTCCATTCCACCGTTGCTCATCATCTGCTGCGCCATGCTCATCATTGCTGGGTTGTTCATGAAGCTCGAGATGTCAGGCATGCCTCCACCACCCGGTGCACCTCCTCCTCCGCCTCCCATGCCTTGGAACATGTCTGCAAGCCCTGCTGCACTTGGAGCTGGAGTCGCATTGGACGTCGGTATAGCTGCGATCTCATCATCATCACCATCGTCAACAATTCGAGATTCTGCGTTTTTGAGTCCGGAGCTGAGAGATGCGTTTTCTGGATCGAGTTCGAGCCCACGACGGAAAGCATCGGCGGCTGAACGGTAGTCACTCAGAGAGTAGTGAGCATGTCTGCATGTGTACAATTCAGCGGTATGCGCCTTTATGCGAAGTCGAGATAAGTGCATACCCAAGTCGGTGATAAGCTTTGACAAAAGTGGAATCAACTTCGATAGCTTTCTCCGCATCTGTTATCGCTTCAGCATGGTTATTCGTGCTTGAATACGCAGCAGCACGGTTGGAATAATAGACAGGGTTTGTGGGATTGAGGTCAATGGCTTTGGTATACGCAGAGATAGCCTCGGTGTAAGCCTTGGAAGACATGAACGAGTTCCCCTGCGCCTTGAAGGATTCCGCAGCTGCTATGTCCTCGGACGAGGGTGTCTTTGCTGCGGAAGATGCTTCGGAGGTGGAAGATGAAGCTCCAGGAGTGTCCATCTTGGCGCGAGTCTTGAGATAGACGTCAAAGATGGTGGGTAGGGTAGCAGGCTTTACGCTCAGGCGATTTCTCTGCGTTTCATCCGTGGGATCAACCTCGAAGGCTTCACCGATACACTGGACTGTCCGGGACGCAAGATGAGAAAGAGAGGGCAGCTATGATCGGTAAGGACGTACTGGCGACTTCAAGAGATTCTACATCGTCTTGTTTCACGGTCCCATCCTTGATGGATGTGTTCAGAAAGTCGATTATGGAGAGGACGAGCTGCTGTTTGCTAGACATGATGGACGGAGGACGAAAGGTAGATCAGCAGCGAGATGCATTCAAGCGCCCGAGGAACGCTAACTAGTGTTGCCGCGAGTTCTAGTCCACCTGATTGGGAATCGGAATCGAATCGAATCAAGCCCGAATCGAATCGTGGCTGATTTTGGCGCCGATTCCACTCGCCATTTCTATCACCTGACCTACGCGCGCAGAGACAGAGCGCAAAGCGCGTTGGACTTTTGCGTTCGAAAACATATCAGTGCAGTTCCCGGCCTAAAGTCGATGGCTCGGGGCGAAGCCCCGAGCAAAGCGGATTCAAGGTCGCATGCAAAGATGTTTGTACGGTCGCCGGTGGCCTGGCTCCTCTGCTGTTCGAACTCCGAGTCCTTCTCGTACCCAAATGAGCCGAGCCTCCGACCTCGTCGACCTCGATACTCCTCGATACCGCTCTCAGATCTCAGCATTGTCAAACGATGTTGAAACCTGAGAGCCGTCCCTCCTGCGTCATTGATT